GTTCTAGAAATATACTATTATTTCAAATGTCTGGAATAATATCTCGAATGAATGACTTCAAAACAAAAGAACATTATATATTATCATTTCAGATTTCTTCGTTAAAGAACGGGTGCGCGTTATACGGCGAGCATACCTAAAACTTAAAAAATGCAGCTTGAAAGTAATAGGTGCGCGTTATACGCCGGATTTTACGGTACTTGGAATAATAAGTATCTTAATGGTGTTTTACATTATTATCATTGCATTTACATTTCCTACAAGTATAAAAAATTAAAAAACAATACATAGATAATAGCACTGCATATAAAAATGATTTTAATAAAATTAACGTGTTTCTTTTAAAATTAAATTCATAAAAAATAAATTTCAAACAGTTTTTAAGAACAAATAGATATAATGACAGAAATAGTGAGAAAGGGGATCATTTTCTGCTCCGTATTCAATTTTTCTCCCATGAGAATTCAGTCTAATGAGCTAGAGAAGCTGGATAGAAATCCTTTAGAATACTTTTTCTTAAAAAAAAATCGATTAAATAGAAATGTACACATCATTTCAAAGAGGTAAGGGGAGTAAAGGTTCGTCTGAAAGCCATAATCAATTTTCATGAAAGAATTTCGAATTCAAATCTCACCCCACACTTTCACGAAAAAATACCCTTTCTTGAAAATTGGAAAAGCCAAATTTGTCACAGCCGATGATTTTTGAGAAAAAGTGGGCTCTCCGATTTTCCTCGTTACATTTCCCGAAGGTAAAGATGTGATCAGCTTAAATATTTTTACAGAAGGAAAAATGATGTCTCAACTTGTAGCAGGAAGAAAGAGCGAAAAGATAGCGATGTAAAATATCTTACTCCAGACGATGCTAGAATTTTAAAGCGTGGAGTGGGTGTCAGTTTCCGATTTGTCTTTTTAGTATAAAATTCGACATTGGAACAAAAATTGCTGTATGTGTGTGCTTATTTTTTTTCTTGGAGAATAGTTTTTCATATAAGAAAAAGTTATACATTATCTCAGTCTGTATGCTACGCGTAAGGAATCTCCAACGAAAACTTTTACATTGTGTTTTGTTCTTATCTCAGTTTTTTTTTATTTGCATATTTTTAACCATTACCTGGTTTGCCCGTACACCGTATTGTGATATAGCCCCCCTTTGGTGACAGTATCTTTGATTGTCAGCGTGAGCTAGAGGTGTAGGGTTTTCAAAAGTAATAGACATTTTAAATTCTTAATATGACTTTATTAAGAATAAAACTTAAATGACTAACAATTTAGATAACTTTAAGTAGCGAGAATCTAGAATGAACAAACACACACAAAAATAGTTAAATCGAATCGCGTAACTTAGACCACTTTCTCTAAATAATTATTCAATCCGCCTACTCTCACTTTTAATTATATTACAAGTCCTAATATCAAATAATCAGTCCTACCTTAATCCAACTAAGATTAGATTTCTTATATGGAGACGCCTGGGAGCGCGTGCAATGGTATGCACCTTGTATTACTGGTTTACTTTCCAGGTAACTTTATGAGTGGCTGTCAATTCAAGCTTGCATCTCTTCAAACATAACTTTCCCCAAATTGCCATTCTGCTTACTGAAACTTCTGTTCTTTTAAAAGCTATCTTATTTGCATTTCTTGTTCACATTTCGTTTCTTGGGTTTTGGTTGGAAAAGAGTTGCCATTAATCTTGACCACCAAAAAATCCAGAGGTTATGTTAAAGAAAAGACGCGTGAGCCCGTCACAGTATGGACTACCGAAAGCTGGTCACAACCGGTTTGCCAGTACACTGAACGGGCATTAATATTTCCTTTTTCTAAATTTCATTTGCACATATATATAATTTATATTGCAGTGTTTCTCAAATTCTGGATCGCCACTCCCTTAGGGGGCGTGATGACCCTACGAGGGGGGCGCATGAAATTCGAAAAGGTTTAAATAATAACAAATTTACTGAAAGGAAGCAAAACAAAATACATTCAAGCATAATAAAAATACACATTTATACTGTTATAATATACTTATAAATGCATCATTGCAGCTCAATATATTTGACAATTAATCTATCAGAGTACTAAGTTAAGAACAAGATTAATAAGATTTATCAATTATTATGTTACAATGATGAAAAATCTGGAATTTATTAATGCATAAAAAAGGCTTAATAAGCATATTTCTATTGAGTTTGCTTCTGCTCACGTTGTAACTAAAATTTAAAAAAGTTTTTTTCTCCCATTTTAAAACCTTCAATTAAGCTGAAATTTTCTATACATGATTATTTTTGATGGAAATACGATAATTTAATTATAATCAATACAAATTATTTGATCAATACCAATTGTTTAAAGTATTAAATTTTACCCATTATTCCAGTTGTTTACAACGTGAAGCAGTTGAATATTGAAACCAGCAAATCAAACTATCCTCTCGTAAAATTAAATTGTTAAAACTATTTATTGAATAAATTCAATTTGACTCAACTTTCCCTTTCGCTCTTAAAATTTAAGGTATTAAAAAATTATGCTATGCGAAGTGTGATGTTTGAAAGAAAACCCATGTTTAAAAAATTCGTGTTTTTCACCAGTATTTCATAATTTTACCGCAACAACCTTTTCAACCAAATGGTTATACCATTCCGAGAAAATTGGCAAGCCATATATTTCTAATGGGGGCTGCAGATTGGAGTTTTCACCATTGAAGACCTACTACATTCCTCGGGAGCTAGTATCTCTTTTTCGTGTGGCACCATATAGGTAGAATACCAATCTCCGCAATTAATTTTGAAGCACAGTTTCCTCGCCAGAAGGAGGCACTTGAGGTTTGACGATGTGAAACCGTACTTAGAAATTTTTAATTTGGCTAGCAACGTATTGCTGAAGATGTTTTGTTAACTCTCAGTGTGCAGTTGATCTTCATGTGATGGATTGGATTTTAGGATGTAAAATTCCCCCCATTTGCAAAACCCTCATACTTTGCTGACTGTTGAATCGACTGACTTACTTCATTATCATGATGTCAATGCCTGTTGATTTTTGCCTTTTACAAACTGTCGATTCGTAAATTCAGTAATCGTGATTACGATGACTTGGATAAGAATTTGCCAAACCATTGTCCCTATAACCTATGAGAATCGGAAAATGTATATTGTGGCGTATAATATGTGCGTGTTAATTTCCTTTTGATGAAACTAAATTGCTTCATTATAATTTCATTTAAACTCCAAGTAGCCAAATTTGTCGCTTCTGGATATTAAAATAGTGTATCAGACTTTCACGCTTGTTTTTTAAACTAACCTCTTGAGTTTTTTTTTTATGATATTTTTCAGTTAGAACCTCGTTTTTGTGAAGGAACTGTGATATATGCAAATAGATGTTACTATTTAAATTTAACTGAACATAGAATAAAGGGTGATTGCCAGAGTATAAAATGGTGAGTGGATGTTCTGCGAGCAATACGTCGAGTTTAGTATCACAAGTATTTATTTTTACAACAGTGGAACAAATGGTATTGTAGCAAAACGTTGCAGCACTTTCCCTCTCCAAAGTCGGGTTATCAACTTCCGAAGGAGAGAGATTGTGATTCTAACCCGACGTTACAAAAGGAGTAGTTGCCAAGTAGTTGCCATCTCACGAAACACTAGGAATGACTATAAACATAAATAATTGAGTTAATGATTTTATTAACCTATAGCTGCCCGTAGTCAAGAGTTACGAATAAGATCGACGAATACTTAAGTAACTAAATTTAGTTTATCTGAAATACTTGCGCTCTAAGAACTGTAGATTCACAAAATGTGGCAGAATCCACCGTGTTTGTCGTGAGATCTCATATCCGATGTACAATAAGATTATCTAAGAATCATATAACTCTAAAACGGGCTTCTATATCAAAGCCATTAGGCAAAGGAGTATTAACTAGTTGATGGATCTAAATTTCAAAAGGAAAATTTCCTGTGATAATTGCTAACCTCAACTAACAGCTATTTCTTTCCACTCTTATTTCTCTCACTTTTAAATCTCAGAACTTTCGTTCTAAGGAAGTAGCAGGTAATTTAAAAGTAAAATTTTAAAGACTATGGCCCCATGTTAGTTTAAGGGGGAACCTCGCGAGATAAGCTACAGAGTTTGACTTGAGACAAGATTCTGAGGAAATCTACTCAGTTTTAATGAGTCTTTGAAGGTAACTTCACAGAGGTAACTTCATTTACACAGATATGATTATACACAGGAACATTCACATCAGATCACATTCATTTACATAAGTGATTTTTCCATTTTGTTAAGGTTCGATCAAGCAAATCGCTCACCGAATATAAATATATAAATATTCTTCATATTTTGACCGAGAAGAAATATACAAATAATAAAATTTCTTCTACGTCTGAATTTATTTATGCTCCAATGGTATCTGTGAGTTTTTAATTGCTATAAGAAGTGTGAAATTACAAAAAAAAAAACCCTATAACAATTGTAACTTATATTTAATCTTTATGAAATAAGATATAGCAAACAATGCATAAAAATTCTCATCTTTTGTATTATTGCAATATTTTGTTGTGTTCCCATTATACATATAATTATAATTTATATTTCGTAGTTGAAAATTTAAGATAAGGTTTTCATAAAATTATCCATTTATATTTAAAAAACATAAAATGAAGATTAATTTCACGTGAATTTGAATTGAATGAAACAAGTAATATATAAAAAAAATATTATAAGTCAATTCCTACTTAGGTCAACAAAGAAAAATTTTATTTTAGTTACTTTTTATTAAATAGTTACAATTAATATAAATATGTATATACGTACATATAACAGAATCACAATAATAAATGACAAAATATATAGAGGAAGTGACTTTCCTTGCAATTTTCCATTCCGTATTTGATGTTGGACTACTTTTTTGCTTATTATTATTATCTATTCATTAAATAAATTTAATTAATCTAATAAAATAGTATAGTAAAGAAGAAATCACATTCACAGAAATTAGGCCAACCCAGGTGGGATTCGAACCCACGACCTTTGAGGTAGAAGTCCAACGTGCTACCCATTGTACTACAAGGTCACATTGAACGAGTTTTCTTTCTATATATGCTGTTGGACTATTATTTTTGTTTGTTACTATTTATTCATTTTTTAGCTTAATTAATGAATTAATGCTTGAAAAAAATTGTAGTAACATCAAGTGTCATCCGCTACAAGTTTAAAATATATTTAAACTTGAATGCTTGAATGAAAAGTATTTTGATAACGATTGAAAATTTGAACAATATATATATTTATATATATATATATATATATGAAGAGAGTGAACTAATAGTAGAGGATCTGAAAAAGAAAAGAAAAGTCCACATTCCGTAGCATTTTGCTTTTCGAAAATACTGTTTCAATAGTAAAATAACTGGATCATTCACCAAATTAAAATGATCTGTCATCGAAGTAATCAATAATACATCCAGAAATTTTTTTCACTGACACAAGAGTCGCTGAAAATATTAAAATTTGACAAACTATGTTCCTTCAAGTTTTTAGACGATTTTGCTTCTAATGTATCCAAATAAAATTACATTATGTTATCTCTAATCCCTAGTTGGGCTATCTAAGACTGGAGCAACTCCCTCAGTCCAATTACTTCAAAAAAAAATCTAGAAATAAAAGAGGTTGTTTAAGAACACATCGTCCAAATTAAAACTTAAGCAATGTAAAATGTGATTAGGTGATGCCTGAACAACATTACACTTCGTACAGATCTTAAAAACTGTTAGCCCATGTTCAAAGGTGAGAGATTTCAAGTGTCCACTACAGCAAGATTGCTGGTCTCTATTGCCTTCAAAGTGTAAGGTACCACCAGGGCACTTTCGGGGTACCAGGCATGTTCAGGTGGAACTTCCCAGAGATCCCTTTGTTTTTTCTTACTTTTAGAGGTGATGAGGATGATGAGTTTGGTGTTTTATGGTGCAAGAGCCAGTTTTGGCTATACTGCTCCAAACATTCATAGGTCTGTGGTCTGGACGGGAAAAGAAGAAAAGGAGAAATTGGATGACAAGATGGAGGGTCGAAAATAGAGAAGGAACACTGGGGTACCCCGGGGTCGTGACACCAGTGTTTACCAAAGATAGTAAACCCCTTGGGAAAAGGAAAAGATCACTAGAGAGAGGGTACCTCGGGATTGTGACACCCGTACCCACCTAAAGAAGGTGAGCCCCCTGAGGGGCTTACTTTTAGAGAGCAACACCTAGCTGAAAGTAGAAGGCATATCAAGGCGGAAGTGTCTAGATATTGCCAATGAGTCTGCTATCTCGTTACTAATAATTTCGACATAGGACGGAATCCACTGAATATAAGAGTTCAAATTTGGCAGTAATTTGTAAAACAAACTTAAGATAGATATTCCGACCCTGTCATCAACCTAAATAATATTAAAGAAATTTTAATAGAACATTATAACATCTAGTAACTATACTTTGAATTATATCCCTGCCTATATGAAAATAATGATCATCATTTCGATTTAAAAGTTACCTTATTTTATAAACTTTCTATTTTTTACAATAATAATCTATTTAAGAAAATTCGTGAATTTCCAGTGTAAGCGAATTATATCACTTTAGGTCGAAATGCACCATCTTCTTTTTTCCCCTACCTTTGACCGAAATATCTAATAATATCTTCAATAAAGGATAATACTCATCGTAATCTTGAAAACATTGTCTGCTTCGGTGACGATATCAAATAAGTCATCTAAACACAGGGTCAGCGGCCACAGTGTAAAACAGTTTGTGAACAACGGCTATTTTCTACCTTTTACTACCCAGTTTTATGACCAGTGGTCAGCGAACCGATGAGTCCATAACATTCTGATAAAGTGAATCTAGATTTATGCTGTAAATCATTTCCTATTTTATACCCTTTGCACTAAAAATAGCTTTCAATATTGGAAGTAAAGAAAAGAGTTATAACCAACGTAAAAAATTGGCTTTATTTTTAGAAACTAGTTTTTTAACCTTTTGCGGATATAAGAACCATTGTGTGGGTAAAAAAGTAATCATCCAACGATTAATTGAATTGAAAAAAAGGAAAAGTTGTTTTAATTAAGAAACATTTTCTTTTTTTTAACTTGCTAGTTGCAGATGTCAGATATATATATATATATATCCTTTTATGGGGGGTGAAAAATGCAATTAGGAGAATTCATGGCGGTCACATATTCTGATAAAATTTCAAATTCGATGATTTGGTTAAGATGTTCGAGCATTAAGATTCATCAAAAAGTGTTTCAAAATTCAAAAAGGCATTTTTATACTAAACATATTCTTTTAAATCCTCTGCATTTTGTTTACCTTTGTGTGTTATTATTGTTGACAAATGTATACACTTTAAAAGAGAGTTTTTGTAAACACACAAAAGCTAGTCACGGCGAGGCGTATAAGCTGATTGGCTGGAAACACGTGATTTCATTAATCATGTGATTTAGAGGTCATATGAATTTATTCTCTGATTGACTGGAAACACGTGATTGTAGCTATGTAATTCTGTCGTCCCATTCATTTAGTCCATTGATTTCTGCTTATTCTTTTTGGGACTGTTAAAAGTAATATGATTTTTCTTAAAACTCTACCTTTTAAGATTGTCTCCGTTAACATTTAAAGCAAAAAAAGTACCGGATAATATATTTTCAAGTAAAAAAAAATCCAACTTTAATAGATCTTTACGTATTTGTAGCACATACGTATATTTATTTATCATACTGTGTAACTGATAAACATTCAATAACTTTGTAATTTGTTCCATCAACGTGGGAATTTTAAACCCAGTTTTGCATTATATTATAGGAAATTATATATGGAACATGATTAAATCCATTTTTCATGCATAAAATAGTATGCAGTAGTCTTAAGATGTTTGCGAACTTAAGTTATATGAACTACACATAGGTGTCTTTTTCTGAGGAAAGATTCTCCTATGTGTTTACATTGTGTTTGTCCATTGACTGTGAGTTATATCATGACTGAATGTTAAATGTTTAATTGCAGGTTTGAAACATTTAAGTCATACAAATTAACATTTATTTGTTTTTTGAGAAAGTTCCCAATTTCCAAAAGATCCTACCTTAATTAGAACTCCTCTAATTAAGGTAGATTTTCTTTGAACAAGAAACCATTAACCCGCCACTTCTCGCGCAGAATATGTCATACCCACCGTCTAATCTTTTTCAGCGTTCCTTCTAAACATTTTCCGAAAAATGGATAGTTTCTCGTGTAGCTGACTTTAAGGTTATGACCTTAAGGAGGCCTTTGAGGGGCCTTAGCATGTATGCAAATATTAAAAATATATTTGGATATACCTCCTCTTCGGGTATGTCATACCTGAATGCATGAGCGCGCTTTAAATTTTTCTTATGTCATGGCGTTTTATTATAGTTATGATGAAGAAATATGATATTTAAATAATTTAATAGATACATTATTTAATAGATATAGTACGAGTACAGCAGTATTTTCGGATGCAGAAAGTCTCTTTGTGGTGATGATGAAGTAGAATTAAATGATGAAGAGTATAAAAGCAAGTATGATTCCACCTCTGAAATCGATCCAGATTTAGAAGAAGGAGATACTGTTGAAAATAAATGATTTATATCTAGAGACATAAAAACATTCGGGAAGAATGTAATTTTGAAGCAGACAACTAGTACACATCTTATCCACTTTGAGATGAACTTTTGAAAAAGAAAACAACTATTGCTGGAACAATAAGAGAAAATAAAAAAGAAATTCCAAAATTTTTGAATTTAAAGAATAGAGAAGTTTACTCCTATATCACACATTAGTTTTAAAAAGGACAAAAATTGCTTCATATATATCCAAGAAAAATTGAAATTGTTTTTTTCTTTTGAGCAATATAGTGGTGATAAAATGGATTCATCTGCCGTACCATCCACATCGGGTTTGGTTGAAATTTGAAGTAATACCTTTCTTAATTTAATTGAGGGAGCAATTATCATCTTGATAAAATGACCACATCATGTTCAATGGCTATAGAATGTAATAGTTAGCCTATAGCAATATTTTTGTGTATGTTTTTGAACGTTGCAATGTGATAAATGTGCAAATTATTTTAAGTACTCAGAAACCACTAACTAAACTTTGAACCAGACTGATTTCTGAAGTGTTTTTGGATTTCGATTTACAGATGAATGCAAAAAATGCAGAAATCAGCAAGCAATGCTCCAACGATTTCTTTTTTTAAAAAAATTCAGAACCAATGAAACCATCAGACTCACTCGCGATGAAGACTAAAGGAGTATGTAAACAATGTACTGAAAGCTCTAATGAAAAGAACAGAAAAACTAAATTTACGTGTGAAAAGTGTAGTAAACATATTGTATTTACTACTTTTCTTCCTTTTTCACCTTTATATACAAATTTTATGGTAAAAACAGAACGTTAACACCCTTGGGTATGAGATACCATGCGCATGAAATTCTGTTCGTTTTTATCGCGCCAGGAATACTGGATTAACTATAAGTGTAAATTTTCGTTAGCATATATTTAAAAAATCTCGTTGCTAAATAACATAGTAATTCAAATATAAATCTCAATTTCTCATAAAACAAATGAAACCACAGTGGATGCCAAATGCTTGACTTTCAACTGTGATTCACTGCATTCTTCTTATACATGCTGGAAAAGCCTATATAAGAATTGTATTATATTTTACCTTAAAATCTTAAGTATTATCGCCTTCCTAGATTTTTTAAATTGTAGTTTTAAATTTCTTAAAATCTTTTAGCTTTAAAGTTCTTCGCCTTCTTAAATTTACTTAATTTTTTTAATCCAATAATCATGCTAGATTATAGTAGAGACAACCGTTTTTGCAACTAAATTTGCAACATTTGTTGATCAATTTGGACGCCAAGGCTCCTCCTACTAAAAAACATTATTGTTAAGTATTCTTTCTTCGCCAACAAATGATCTTTTCAATTACAACAATATTTCGACAGAAAAACGAAGTTCAGACTTTCCAGAAAAATACTGTAAATTAAAAATACAAAGAGTTTTATTATTA